TGGGTTTTTGTTAGGTAGGTTATTCCAGAGTTTGGGCACTAAAAAGGAGAAGGATCTGCCTCCCGCATTTGATTTTGATATTCTAGGTATTATCAAATTGCCAGAGTTTTGACTCTGGCAATTTGTAACCTCAAGTAAGCATTAAAAACGGTGACACCTCTGCTGAGGTCCATGTTCACAGCATTATGCCTGTCAGCAAAAAACCTTTGTGTGATCCCCCACATTGAATTTGGGTCACAAGAATATTATATATATGTCAGGCTCTGGGCCAGGTTTTGTGTGTGTCTTTGCTCCCTATGTGCTCCGTCATCCAGTTTCTCTGTCTCGTGTTTTGAATTCATTGTTCCCAGGTGTTTCCAATGTTAATTGTCATTAGTTCCAGGTGTCCCTTGTCTTCCCCTCATCAGTTCCTGTGTATTTAAAGTGTGTTCTAGTTCTTGTCCTTTGTCAGTTGTTGAACGTCATCCTGTCATCCTGATGTGTCGGGTCCTGTGATCCCCAGCCTTTGTTAATAAAACCCTTTTGATTTATTCTACTCTGTGTCTCCTCGCTCCTTCGTTCCCGTGTTCCTTGTGTGTGTGAACCGCGACAATATACTGTATATTATTTATTATTTACATGTGTGTGTGTGTGTATTAAAATGTACGTGTATTTTATACATTTTTTTTATTACTTTAATGTGTTATAATCAGGGGTGTTGAGTTTTTCGGTCTGGTTCTCATGAGAGCACCTAGAGATTTGGTTTGGTACTCACACTGCACATATGACTCATTAAATATAACTATAAAAACAAAATAATTATTAATAGTGATAATAGTATTATTGCATTTATTTATTTTGTATTTTAATAATAGAAAATAATAAACAAAATAATCTGTGATAATACTATATTTAAAAATAAATTGAGTATAAAATAAAAATACAGTTATTTTATAGCGCACTTAAAGGGGTCATATGATGCAATTTCAATTTTTCCTTTCTCTTTGGAGTGTTACAAGCTCTTGGTGCATAAAGAAGATCTGTAAAGTTGCAAAGACTAAAGTCTCAAATCCAAAGAGATATTCTTTATAAAAGTTAAGAGTCAACCACGCCTACCTAAAACGGCTCGTTCTAACACGCCCCCACATGTCTACGTCACAATGTGGGAAGATTTGCATAACACCGCCCAAATGTTCTCGCAAAGAAAGAAGGCGTGAAAGAAGGTGTAACTTTTATTCTCGCTGTAGTATTGTTGTTGCCGCTGCCGCTATGTCGTGAAGATGCTGTATGTTTCGTTGTGAAAGCGAAACTACTTAGTTTGGCCTTCCAAAAGAGCACGATATCGCTTCGTCATGCCTGGAGCTGATCCGTGCTGGTCGCTGAGGAAATACAACAAATTTGCGCTGTGGATCACCGGATCGGC